CCGAGTCGCCGCCCGCTGGTGGCGGAGCGCGCTTCCCCCCCGGGTGGCACTGGGTCCCGCGCGGGGCTCACGGGGGGGGGAGCACGGCGTGGGGGGATTGATCTGTGAGCTCTGGGTGAACCGGCGCCGGGAAGGGCACGGACACTGGGTTGGACATCGCCCTGGCAACCGGTTCTGTCGTTTGGTTTGGATTTATTTTTTTTAATACGAGAATAGTTTTTTAAGTGGAGAGTAGGGAAGGCTCCATTATAGCCCCTTCCAGTCCCTAAAGGGGCTACAGGAGAGACGAGGAGGGATTTTTGATCGGGGAGTGGAGAGATAGGGTAAGGGTAACGGCTTTAAACAAAAAAGAGGGAATTTAGACTAGATGTAAGGAAGAAATGTTTTATGCTGAGGGTGGTGATAACCAGGTCCGGGTTGCCCAGAAAGGTGGGAGATACCCCATCCCTGGAAACGTTCCAGGCCAGGTTGGAGGGGCTTTGAGCAACCTGATCCAGCTGAAGATGCCCCTGCCCACGGCAGGGAGTTGGACTGAGTGGCCTTTAAAGGTCCCTTCCCACCCAAACCATCCTGTGATTCTACTGCAGGAATGCAGAAGTCCTCACTAGTTTACTCTTCTTTCATACTGCAGTCCTGAAGGAAATAAGAGAAGACTGAAAAGTGCACCTGTGGAGTATTTTCAGAAAACTGGGGAGATGATGCTAAAAGCCGGTTTTGATTTCACGGCTCCTTGTCAGAGGAGCACCCGCTCGAGGGTGAAAAGGTACAGCGCGAAAGCAGGAACTGTTTCAGAGAACGGGGATTGTCACAGCCAAGTCCAAGGCCTCAGTGTGCAAAATGGTGGAGAGGACAGAATTCAAAACATTCAGACTGGAAATGAACACCTGGAAGACGTTACACCCACTCTGGAAAGCAAGGATTTAATCATGAGGGGTATAAACCCAGAGGAGTGTTTGAAAACCAAGAAAAAGGGGGCAGGGGGAAAAGGTGCTCAGAATAAGAGGACTGGAAAGAGCTCAGAAAAGAGGAATGGAGATAATACCCCAAAGAAAAGACAGAGAAGAGCGTGTAACAAACAGGAAACTGAGTGTGTTCAGAAGAAGTTCTGCGGGCAGAGGGAGGCGCGTGTTGCTGACAGCCGGGGCGCAGCTGATCAGAACACAGACCCTGTGGGCACGGGAAGGACCCTGCTGGGGGTCTCCAGGTCGCGGCCGTGCCCACGGTCAGCGAGAGCTGGCGCGCAGAAGAAGAGCCGAGCAGGGCAGGAGTGTGTGGAGACAGGCTCTGATGGCGCCTCATCTGCAAAATCTGAGGAGAAAACTGACGGATTGAAAGTAGGGAAAGAGATGGACCAAGGGAATCCAGGTAACTGGGATTTTAAATCTGACACTGAGAGGGATGCTGAGCTCCTGCAGCCATGTGACAAAGGAGGATTCACAGTGGTTAAAATGCTGCCAGGTATTTGTGTGGTTTTGAGCAGAACATTATCCTAAGTCTGCTGGGGGTTCTGCTAACTATGTGAGCAAAGTATTGCCTTTCGGGTCACACTGCTTTGACATCTCAATCAGTCTCCTTTCTTTATCCAACAGCATTTAACTTAATGCAGATTTATTCACAACTGGAGCTTGCTCTACTGATCTCTTCAGCTGTAGAGTGTAATATAATAATGTTCATTACCTTCGCTGCACTCTCTTAATGTTGTTGCACAGGTGGTCAATTGGATTCATAAAAAAGGCTAATTTTACCTTGTTTCGTGTGCTAGAATCACTTTCCTCAGACTGCGACAAAGTGGTGCTTTATCTTCCAAATTTTTTCCGTATAGTTGAGATAAAGGTGCTTCATGTTGACTCCAGTACCGCTCTGTATGTTCTGTGCACCTACAAGAAATCCTTGCGTTTCCATCACAACATAAAGGAAATGGTGTATGGAATGGGACAGCAAAATACTTGAGTTTTTTTCTTTTTAATGCTGAAGTATTATTTCGTTACAGAAGAGTCTATCCCACGAACACAAGTGGAGAGGAGGAAAACGAGTCCGTATTTTTCAAGTAAATACAGTAAAGAAGGTATAATATTTTGTAGGGAAATAAATTCTTTTTTATGGGGCGGAGGAACAGGATGGCTCAAGATCAAGTGATGTTAGGGAAAATCTGTTCCAGTTTTAGGCTGGCATCAGAGAGCTCGGCTTTTCTGCACTGGTGCTGATCTTGCCCCATTCCAGACCGCGGTGGTTTGGACCTTGCAAGCAGCCGTTAAGGCTGGTATCAAATACTGGCGGCTGCGGGGAGATGGGGTGAACAGGCTTTGGGGAACTCTCTTCAGATGCTGCAGTGTGTCCCCTGTCAGGGGGAAACCCTGTGCCCTGGGGCTGCTGCCCCACACCAGGAGAGTGGCAGGAGCTGGAGAGGGCCCCTCTTCTTGGAAAATGCCCATAACAGGGTAGGGGGGACGGACACATGCACACAGAGGCATCCCTGGCTCTTGCTGCAGCCTCTGCCAGGGACACAGGCTCCCTGCAGTTCTGTAAAACTAAGGTGTGAATTGCGGCTGCTCCAGCCACAGACAGAGCCCCCCCAAAGATGAATCTGCCTCAAAGGTCTTCATTTTTAAAAATTATTTTCCTTTAAATAGGTTAATCCATCCTTTACTGCCCAGTAATTTTTCCTGTATTGCCTCTGTGTGCAGCTCCCAGCCCACCCAGAAGGAAGGCCTTCAGAAAATGGACTCCTCCACGTTCTCCTTTCAATCTGATCCAAGAGACGCTTTTCCATGATCCATGGAAACTTCTCATTGCAACCATATTTCTCAATAAAACTTCAGGTAAATAGAGAAATATGATTTCATGTTATGAAAATGTTGGGGTGGTGTAACAGGGTCAGAATATCTGACATTTTTAAAATGGCATTAATGAAAGAATATTAACTTATGTCAATGTAAAAAAAAAAATCTTTAATTTCTAACTCTTCTAACTCTTTGAAAAAGCTCATTTCAAAAAGCGTACCTAGATAATCAGCAAAGAGAATTGCCTGTATGGTCTTCTGTTCATGGTCCTTTCTTTCACTAGGTAAAATGGCAATCCCTGTGCTCTGGGAGTTCCTGAAGAAGTATCCTTCTCCTGAAGTAGCCAGGGCTGCAGACTGGAAGGAGATGTCGGAGCTGCTCAGACCTCTCGGCCTCTATGAACTCAGAGCGAAAACGATCATCAAGTTCTCGGGTAGGTTTTCCTGACCCTGCCTGGGGAGGGCTCTGGGCTGCACCGGCGAGGGAACCAGCATCCTTCCCAAACCCTGCTCTGCAGCTCTTGCTTCTCTGTGGCAAATACTGGTGCTGCTTTAATTTATGCAGCTTTGGGATGCGCTGGCCCTACATACGCAGAGCTGCTGATCCTGTTGTCTTAACTGAGAATGAAATAACACACATAACAAGTTCTGCAAGAGACCTCTGTCTGGGAGACTTCTTTTGGGTGGAAAAAGACAGAAACACCTGCAGGCCCGATGGTGTGCTTTGCAGCACTATGATATGGTGGCTCTGCTTTGTTTGGCATCAGGTGACCTCCAGAAGGCCCTGCCAGCCAGAATTTTTCTATGATTCTGGTATTTTCTATACTTAGAATAAAAGTACTCCTCTGTGGGTTCTGAGGAGAGAGATTTAATTAAAACTCACCCACAGTGATTTATCCAAAAGGTGTTCAGGATGTATCCCATGGGGATTTGTTGCCCACTTTCCCCAGGAAATAGCTAAAACTTGTGTTTTTCATTGGAAATGTTGTGAAGTGGAGATGAGTTCCCCAGCAGAGCCGGGTGTTTCTGGGTGTCGCGCTCTGGTGCTGGGGCGGTGAAGGCAGTGGCTGTGTTGCAGATGAGTACCTGAGCAAGCGGTGGCGGTACCCCATCGAGCTGCACGGCATCGGCAAGTACGGGAACGACTCCTACAGGATCTTCTGCGTCAACGAGTGGAAGGAGGTGGGTGCTGCAGCCCCGGCTGTGCTGCCAGGGCTCGCTCCACACCCAAGCTGTCCCTTGGCTTTGCTGGGCTCGTACCTATGGACTGCTGGAGAGCAGCTCTGAGGAAAAAGACCTGGGAGTCCTGGTGGACAACAGGATGACCATGAGCCAGCAATGGGCCCTGGTGGCCAAGAAGGCCAATGGCATCCTGGGGGGCATTGGGAAGAGTGTGGCCAGCAGGTGGAGGGAGGTCATCCTGCCCCTCTGCTCTGCCCTGGGGAGGCCCCATCTGGAGCACTGGGACCAGTTCTGGGCTCTCCAGTTCCAGAAGGACAGGGGACTGCTGGAGAGGGGACAGCAGAGGCTACAGAGATGATGAGGGGCCTGGAGCATCTCTCATATGAGGAGAGGCTGAGGGACTTGGGGCTTTTTAGTCTGGAGAAGAGAAGACTGAGGGGGGGATCTGATCAACACCTATAGATACTTAAAGGGTGGGTGTCAGGAGGATGGGGCCAGTCTTTTTCCACTGGTGCCCAGTGACAGGACAAGAGGTAAAGGGGAAAAACTGGAACAGAGGAAGTTCATCTAAACATCAGGAGAAACTTCTTTACTTTGAGGATGGCAGAGCCCTGGAAGAGGCTGCCCAGGGAGGTGGTGGAGTCTCCTCTGGAGACATTCAAAACCCCCCTGGACACGTTCCTGTGGGACCTGCTCTGGGTGGCCCTGCTCTGGCAGGGGGTTGGACTGGATGATCTCCGGAGGTCCCTTCCAACCCTTTATCTTTCTGTGACTCTCTCAGAGCGGTCAGGTGTGAGAGAAGGTATTTTAGTAAATGTTCAACTCTTTTGCTGTGTTTTAGGTGCAGCCGCAGGACCACAAGCTGAATGTGTACCACGCCTGGCTGTGGGAGAACCGGGAGAGGCTGAGCATTGACTGAGGGAAGCCGCCACCGGGCTTGGTGCAGGGGGTGTCCTTGCCGTGTTGCTCAGATCATCAGGTTCTTAATTCAAATATTGGTGTGGTGTACATGGTGCAGCTCGTCCTTGTCATTAAATGTTTAAAATACCTGTATATATTTTTTTAATAAATGCATACCCATTTTTATTACGGAATCATGGAATTGTTGGAGTTGGAAGGGACCTCTAGAGATCATCCAGTCCAGCTCCCCTGCCAAAGCAGGATGGCCCAGAGCACATCACTCAGGAGCATCCAGGTGGGTCTTGAAGATGTCCAGAGAAGGGGACTCCACGACCTCCCTGGGCAGCCTGTTCCAGGGCTCTGCCACCCTCACCCCAAAGAAGTTTTTCCCCATATTTGAATGGAACTTCCCATGTTCCACCTTGTGCCCGTTGCCCCTCGTCCTGTCACTGGGAACCACTGAAAAGAGTCTGGCTCCATCCTCCTTCAACCCTCCCAAAAAAAGGCCAAAAAAGGGAAAACTTCAAACTGGGTTGGTGGAGGAAGGTTTGGGGGAGGGGGACAACAAAAAAAACCCCAGTAAAATAGAGCAAAACTTTCTGTGAAGAAGAAAACCGGCGAGCGGGGCCGAGGCGGGGGTTGTGGCGTCACCGGAGCGGCGGTACCGCCCCTCTGGTGACGTCACAACCCCCGCCTCGGCCCCGCTCGCCGGCCAGGTCCTGGCAGCTGAAGGCGCCGTACGGAGCTGCCAGGACCTGCCGCCTCTCCCACAATCCCCCGCGCGCGGGGCCCCCATCTCCTTTTCCTTCCTTCTTCCGGTGCGGCCCAGCGGCGGACGGCCGCCATCCCGCTCCCGGTGAGTCGCCGCCATCGGCCTCCATCCTCCCGTTCTCTCAGCCCCGGCGGGTCGTTGGCCCGGCTGGGCGCATCCCCTTCCCTCCGCCAGCCCTTTTGGGCCGCTGTCTTAATGGCGGGTTGTCGGGGCCTTCATAGCGGCCTGTTGGGGCCTCTATGGCGGCCGGGCGGGCTGAGCATCCCCCTCCTTCCCTCCCTCCCCTCCCCGTTTTGTGCCCGGTGATATTGAACCGTGAGCGTGTTGAGGTAAAATGGGCGCTTCTGGTATTTGTGCTGCCCAGCCCGGGGGGGCTGCAGCTCGGCGTGAGGCGGGTTGTTGGGATGGTGAAGGAGCGGGAGCGCCCCGGGGTGAGGGGGGGCGGGTGGGGACCTCCCAGGATCGCATCTGGAGAGCTCTCGGTGCTCTTCCAGCTTCGGAGGCGGGAGGGAGATGACGGCAGGCGAATACCCATTCCCTCGCTCGCCTCCGGCGTGGCCAGCGAGTGGAAGATCAGTCTGCGACACGTGCGGTGTGCCCCGGGGGGGGAACACGTGTGGCTTCTGCCTCGGAGTCCCCCCTTCTCACCCCCAGCTCTGCCCCTCTCAGGCACCATGCCTGCCCTCAGACCGCTGGTGAAACCTAAGATCGTCAAGAAGAGGACCAAGAAGTTCATCCGCCATCAGTCTGATCGCTATGTCAAGATCAAGGTAAAGAGTCACTAGAAATTAATTAAAAAATGGATGCTGGGCCAGTCGGAGGTGGCTGCCTCTAGGGGTTGTGTGAGCCGATGCAGGCGGGAGGCAGGAACACCCACAAAAACAGGGATTAAAGGCAAAGAACAAATTTAAACTTGAGACCTCATGGATTGGGGAATCTCTGAAGCAGCGCCTGGGCAGAGGCGGGGGATGCAGGCACCGCGGGGCGAGAGAGCCCTCATTAGCAAGAGTCCTCGTTGGTGAGAGAGCAAGAGCTGACACTGTCGGTGCTGGCTGGCATTCCAGGGGTTCTGGCTGGCGGAGGTTTCACTGGGCTTGGATCTCTCCAACAGGGGGAACCTCTGGCACGTTGGACAAGGTGCCCCCAGTCCATCCATCCCAGGCTGACAGTGTAAAGTGCAGATGTTCCACTTGCTGAGCACACAGAGCCAAACAGCAGTTGGTGTGGTGGTTTCCCACCCCGCGGTGGCAGTGACTGGAGGCTGCTCCCAGCCCCCTCGCCCACCCACCGGGACTGTCCCACGGGGTCACGGGGAACGCGGGCACCCAGGGCAGCGCTGTGACAGCCTGGCACAGCGGAGCTTTGCAGAGAGTGGTTTTTGGTAGAGTGGTTACCGAGGTGCGGGTGTTCTCAGGCTGATACCATTTCATAACTTTTAAACATTTTCTGCATTTCTTCAGCGCAACTGGCGTAAACCGAGGGGTATCGATAACAGGGTCCGCCGGCGGTTCAAGGGCCAGATCCTGATGCCCAACATTGGCTACGGCAGCAATAAGAAGACAAAGCACATGCTGCCCTCGGGGTTCAGAAAGTTCCTGGTCCACAACGTCAAAGAGCTGGAGGTGCTCATGATGAGCAACAAGTGAGTGTGGGGCCCCTCTGCCCCCCACCTGCGGCAGCGGGGCTGTGTGCTGCGTGCCCTGCAGCCACGGGTCGGGGGGAGGTGAGGGAAGCTCACAATCACAGCATGATATGGGGTTGGAAGGGACCTCTGGAGATCATCTTATCCAACCACCGTCCAGAGCAGGTCCCACAGGAACGTGTCCAGGTGGGGTTTGAATGTCTCCAGAGATGGAGACTCCACCACCTCTCTGGGCAGCCTCTGCCAGGGCTCTGCCACCCTCACAGGGAAGAAGTTCTTCCTCATGTTTAGGTGGAACTTCTTATGTTCTGGGTTGTGCCCGTTCCCTCTTGTCCTGTCACTGGGCACCACTGGGAAAAGACTGGCCCCATCCTCTTAAAAGCTCTTCTAGGAGCAGGAAGGTTGTGCTGGTTTCTGTGGTGCTGCTCTGCTGTGGGGGCTCCGGTGGGAGGGCACTGGGGGTGTCCTGGGGCAGGAAAACTCCAACCTCTGGTGAAAACGTGCTGTGGTGGTGGTGGCAGAGAGCTCTGCACCGACAAAAGAGTGATCAGAACTGCGGCTTCGCATCTGCTCAGACACAGGCCTGGATCTACTTGTAGATCTTTCTTTCACAACAAAGTAATGAGAGTAATAATTAACACAACTAGAGATGATCTGGTCCCAGGTGCATTCACAAGAAAGCAGGCGGTGTGTGGGGCTGCTCCGGGAGGGAAGGTGTGGGGCTGGCGAGGGGGTGGGAGGCGGGTGGTGCCGGGGCTGAGCCTGGTCTGTGCCCCCCAGGTCCTACTGCGCCGAGATCGCCCACAACGTGTCCTCCAAGAACCGGAAGGTGATCGTGGAGAGAGCGGCCCAGCTCGCCATCAAGATCACCAACCCCAACGCCAGACTGCGCAGCGAGGAGAACGAGTGAAGCGGCTGCTGCAGCCCAGATGTATTTAATAAAATGTAAAACCAAACTCTGCTGGGTGTTTTGAGCGGCCAGAGGGGCAGAGGAGGTTGGTGCCTGCCTGCAGGTGGGGCAGCAGATGGCGGGGGGGCTCCAGCGCAGCCCCGGGCTGAGCCCAGCTCTCCAGGGGACACAGCAGCCATGAGCGATGTGGCTGCGCTGGGGAAGGAATTCAGGAGTGCACGCAGCTTCACCAGTGCACTTTTTATTTTCCATACTGCTCAAACAGCAGGGATGCTCTTTCACACAGCATTATAAATATTTTTCACATCAACCACTCATCAGAAAAGGAAAAATGAAAGCTTATTACAGCTCCATACTACCAGAAGTGTGGTGCGGTGGCCCCGCGTTCTCCTCCTGCTGCACCCTCTCTGCTGCTTAAGGCGTATCACTGCTGCAAAGCAGGATTTGAACACAGCAGCCACTCTCCAGGCAGGGTCGGTGGGGCTGTGTGTTTGGGGTGGGGGCCTTTGGCTGAGCCGAGCCCCGGGAGAGGAGCTGGTGTCAGCGCAGAGAAAAGCTGAGTGTGAGGTTTGTTACCATAACGCCATCCAGTAAGCGGCTCCTCTGGAAGACGGGGTTGAGGTATTTTGCAGCAAAACCATAAAAATGGGAGTCAGGGGAGCCAGCCCGGAGCAGCCCCTGGGTGTGAGCCCGTCTGGGGTGTGAAACCCAGGACAGAAGGGCCCCCCCACAGCCCCCCGGCTCCCACAGGGCTGTGGGTGCGACGCTCGGCACTAACTAAAGACCTGACTGCAGTTTTCTGCCACATTATTTAGTGAAACAATATAAATACATTCCTCAGGCAATTTGGGGTAGAAAGTGCATGTGCAGATGTTAAAAAATAAATTTTAAACTCTTTGTACTGCAATAAGGAAATATTTCAGGAAGCAGTTTCCATTTTCCATGGAACCCCACTCCGTTCCGATTGCTTTGTACAGCCCTTAAAAACTGGCTGAAAAGCACAGGGACACTTCCCTCCTCTCACATCCCCTCAGGACTGGGACCCGGGGAGGTATCCAAGGCCAGTGCAGCGCAACCAGCCCGGGGACTTGCAGGTGGAGTCGCAGCAGAGTCTGGCTCAGCGAGTCCTCCCTCGGCCCGTCCACGGGGTCTGGGTGAGGGGCAGGAGAGGGGCAGGTCTCCCTTAGCTCATGTCCATGGACTCCGAGGCAGGCAGGGAAGCGGAATCCTTCTGGATGCTCTCAAACAGCGAGGCCATCTCGGGATTGGATCTGATCTGAGATGAGAACTCTGCCATGGCTGGACTTTTCTCCACTTCGGGGATGGTGAGGAGAGCGGCGACTGCCCTCATGGCCGATCGCTTCAGCTCGTCCTGCTTCTCAAACTCCTGCTTCACAGAGCCCGCTTTCACCTGCAAGTCCAAACCACTGTTTTAGTCACCATTTAGGAAAGAGTAGAGGCAGAGAGAGTCAGACACACCAACAGAGACAGAGAGGAGCAGATGGCTCTCCTGCCAGAGGAGCGTGGGGAGGAGGATAACGGCAGGGGTGGCTTTGTGGTGGGACCCCCAAAGTGTGTCACGCTCTGCCAGGTCTCACCTTGGTGGAGCAGGTTGCCCGCAGCGGCTCAATCAGCGTCTCGAGGCGCTGCAGGACGGCGCCGGGGCAGAGCGTGGAGAGCCGCGCCAGCATGAGGAACGTCAGCATCTACAGAGGGAAACCAGAACACGGGTGTCACGTCACTGCAGCCCCCGACCCCCAGGCTCAGAGCACAGATCCTCAGAATCAAACGATAGTATCCAAACGATGTAGTGCTTCCTATTAAGCCATGAGGCCATCAACAGCGACAACTGCTTTAATACAGCGTCACTGGCCCCACTGAGCAAGTGACAATCATGAGTTTAAAGGCAGAAGGCACTTATTTTAGGCTTTGATAAATTTCCTACCAAACCAGCTACAGCAGGGCTGCGTTTTCAAGGCCACCACAGTCAAACCAGAGCTAGACCATGGAAAGACTGCAGGGAACAGGAAACACCACAGCAGGGACACCCTGTGCTTGGTGACACACCGGCTCCGTTCAAGGCCAGGCCCCCAGAGAACTCGTAAGAGCAGTGACATCACCACCCCCAGCAGCGACAGCGTGGCGTTACCCGAATGTCGTAGTGATCCTTCAGTCCATCCTCCACGTGGTTCAGGTACTCGTAGATGTCCAGCCGGTCCAGGCAGCTCTCCAGCAGCGTATACATGCATTCAAAAGCAGCTTTCCTCACATCGAGGCCATCATCCACCGTGTGCTTGAATGGCCCCATTTCTACCTTAAATGAGAAAAAAACACAGCTGTCACCTGAGGGCAGAGAGGGTGACAGCTCCACCTCAGCTCCACACGCTCAGGCGCCGTCGCTGCGCACCGGCCGAGGGCGGACGTACCTCCCGGATGAGCTCCCTCCTGACCTTCGTTTCGTTGTACAGGCTGGGGAGAGTGGCATCCAGCAAATCTCGGATTAGAGAAGGTTTGTTGTGAGCAGCAGAGTTAAACATGGCTAAAGCCACACGGCGAACATTCAGGTCCGGATCCTGAAGAGTTTTTAAGAAGTCTCCTGTGGGATAAGAGCACACCCGTCAGTCCTGCTGCGGTGCTTTCAAAGTATATCATGGTGTACTTCGAGGAGCCTGGTCCTGAAAGCACCTGCAGTAAAATAACTGGGGCACAGACTAACAGAGACATTTGAGATGCTTTCCTTCCCTTCATTTGGGGTATAGTAAATGGAAGCATGACTTTCCTGCCTTTGGGCATGAAAACAACCTCCATGATTCCAGCTCATCCTCAGGTCAGACCAGAAGCTTTGGTATTCAAAGACGTTGGGTTTTGTTTTTTTCTTGCTCAGACTTCTCTGAAACAGAAGGCCTGTTTTATACAACCTGTCTGAGCCACAGGCTACCTAGACATAAGACCCTTGTAATGTAGGTTGTGTTTTCCAAGATCCTTGCCCTGAGATGCCTGAATCATAACCTTAAATGCAGAAGCAACTGCTCCCTAATGCTCCCTAGAAAACTCTGTCACCAATGGAACATGCCCAAGAGAAGGGCATCAGAGCATTTAACGAGGATTCATGTGACAGTGACGCTCTTTAATCCCAACTGTATGAGGTTCCCCTGAGCTGCTAATGACAGCTCACGTTCCCCGCTCCCGCTGCTGCTGGCACCAGCCTACCTACACAGCCCCTCAGGAGAGCATCCACGGGCTGCGGCTGGTCTGCGATGGTGAATTTGACTGCAGTCACCACCGTGCTCCGGGCGTGGGGAGAGTCTGCCATGAAGATGGAAAGAAAAACCAGTGAGAGATGAAGAGACAAAATCACTGCTGAACCTTTGTGGTACATGTTCTGCTCTCGGTGACATTATACACACAGTGAAGAGATCAGAGAACAGAAGATTTATCTTAACAACCTCCTTGTTTAAATCTTGCTCCGGGACAATTCCCACGTGCAGTCCCTGTTCCAAACACCCTGCTGCCCTCTGTACTCACCTCTGCTCCTCTGGTCCCCCTGCAGGGATCCCTCATTTCCTTCCTGCCCCTGCAGACAGGCTCTGCTCCCCGTTGTACCCACCCGAGTTTAAAGAGGACTTTCCAGCAAAAGCAGGCACTTCCCCACTCCCACCACCACCCTTCCCAATACCTGATGAGAGCTGTTTCTTCAGCCGGGGCAGCAGCTCCGAAGGATTCACCAGAGTCAGCTTCCCCAGGCATTCGGCCACCACGTTGCGCGTCCCCTCCTCTGGGCACTCGCAGTGCTTGAAAAGCAGAGCCCAGATGTCCTCCACGTAGGGCTTGAGGCTGTTGGCCGGGGAGGAGCTGATGACTTCTTTCAGAGAGTGCAGCAGGAGATACTGCCTCTTGGGCTGGCTCTCGATCTCCTTCAGCATGAAGGGAAGATACTCCTGAAGATTCCCCACGCTGATGTTCCCCAGGGCGTAGGAAGCCGCGGATTTCACCTCTTCACTGGGGGAGGTGAAGGCTTCCAGGATGACGGTTTTGAGCTCTCTCTGCGCGCTGAGGTTCGTGGTGCGCCCCATCTCTGCCAGGGACAGGAACGCCAGCACTTTAACAGCAGGGCTGGCCTTGGGGCTCTTCACATCCTGGATGAACTGGGTGACTACAGCAGCGGCTTCCTTCGGGCAGGCCGAGGAAAGGGCGGCCACGCACTTGGCCACAGAGTAATAGGCCTGTTTGTGCAGCGTCACCGACGCCCCGGCTGAACCCGAGGAGTGAATGGGCGCCGTGAGCTGCCTCAGCAGCTCCGAGTAGCCCGTGGTGGCCGTCTTGGTCAGAAGCAGGGCCTGGAAGAAGTCCATGATGGCGCTCAGCGCCCCTCCCTGCAGCAAAGGCGAGTGGACGAGCTGGAAGATTTCAGCAAGAACCGACCCGCTGAGCTTAGAGACGCAGGATGGATACACCTGAGCTAAGGTGGTAAGGAACACGATGGCCACCTGGGACACGTGCATGTCATTCTCGGTAATTAAAGCGGGGAGCTCCGCTAGGACAGACTCTATCATGGCAGGCTTGAGGCTGTCGCTGTAGTTCTTCACCAGGATGTCCAGAGCAGTCAGGGTGCTCAGCTTCAAGGCACGTTGGTTCTTTCTCAAGAAGGAAGCGAGAATGGGGAAGCCTTCCCCTAGAATGGGTCTCAAATCTATTTTAAGTGGAGAACTAGCAATTAAGGTTAATGCCTTGACTGCCGTCAATCTGGTGATTTCATTTTTGAGCCTCTCCAGAAAGATCTTCAAGGTTGGCTGGAGATCAGTGCTTAGATGGTCTCCCAGGCTGTAAATAATTTGTCCCATGCAGGAGATGGCACGCTCTTTCACCTCCTGGTCGATGTCAGCGGCCTTCAGTCGCTTCAGAGTACCAGGGAAAAGGTCCTTCACGTAGGGCTTGGCATCAAAAGCACAAGATTTGTCCAAAGGCCTGATGACCTTCACAAGTTGCTGAGTAACCAGCAGAGCTTCTGAAGTGATCTTATAAAAGGGGTCTCCAATACAGGTCACCACAGGAGGTAACAGGCTTTTGATATGAGGATGAAATACCTCTGGCTGGTGGTTGCACAGAAGGACGTGAAGGAAGGACAGTGTGTCGATCCTCATGTTGGAGGAGCTGGATTTATCGGCCAAGGAGAACACAACACCTGTGCCAGAGAGACAAGAACAACTGCTGTCTTATTTCATCACTGGTTTTCATCACACTCACTGCCCCCCCCCTCCCCCCCCCAAAATGGGCACAACTGGAATCCATTTTCTTTTTTTACTCCCCCCACCCAAAAGATCCATGCCTCTGGAGAGAGCTGCTCTCCTTGCCTCTTTCTGCTCTCCAGGAAGTGACAGCTCAGACATAACTGGTCTCTGTGCCAGTGCTGGGTGACTGGCTACCAAAACTTCTTAAAAATTCATGTGAAAAGTCACCCTGGGCTGAGACAAGAAGGGAAGGTTGGTCACGTGCGAATAACCATGACAAAGTGGCATGAAACGAAGACGGGGAAAGCCGGGTCTCAAGAACAGGCAGCCCAGGCAGCAGGGATGCCCCTTCCTGAGCTTCCCCTTCATACTTCTGAGGGAAGTCTTTTTAAAAGTCCAGCTTCTGTGGCACAGATTTATGTTTCCCAGAAGCCTTCATGAGCAACACTTCCAGCACTACTGCTTGTCCCCGGAGTCACGCCTGACTCCTGGCTTTCACCATTCTATTAATGTGCAAGAGGCAGGTGCATGGATGAGGCCCAGAGACAACCACAGGAGCCTGTTTTATGTATTTCCTCTACAGTCACACCAAAAGCAGAGGCAGGACCTCAGGATTACGAGCCTCTCAGCAGTGGGGGATGCTTCATCAACCTACAGGCAGGAAAGCTCACAGACTAACGTGGTGGTGCAAATTAAATAATCTGTCAATACAAACACAACCCAATCTCCCAGCCCGCGGAGCCGTTTACCAGGGACCAGCGCAGGGATGTGATCTGCCAGGCAACCAGGGAGAACGTTGGCCAGCTCCGTCAGGAGGCTGAAACACCCCTGCCTTGATTTGATGCTCTTTTCCTTCAGCTGCTTGTGCAAGGCCTTGACGATGTTGGGGACCTGCAGTTCGGAACAGAAAACCAGGAACACCTCAGTTAGCCCAGCTTCCAGGGCTTCATGCTCCCAAAGCCAGAGGCATCGACAGGACAGCCAGAGAAGTCCTGGGGGGACTTCACCAGAGACTGAGCCTGGGATAGATAATGAGACAGTGCATGTGAAGAAAAGACAAAGGAACAGAAGAGTGGGAGGGGATGTGATTCTTTTTTTCTCTATTCTACAGACTCCTAAGCAGCCCCTCCTGAAGCTGGTGACACCCCCTAACACACACAGGCTTAAAGACACACAACAAAAGGATCAGACCAGGACACACTGCTAAACACTCAAGAGTTTTACGATTCCCTCCTGCTCTGCTGTTTGATGATCTAGTGCCATCACTATCTTTAAACTTGGACACCCTGCCAGTGCCTCAGGGACATCAAAGAACAAATCAGAGGGCATGTGATTGGCACTCCCCGGGAACGGTGGCAGAGAAACAGCAAACGGCCAGCCCTCAGGATGTGGTGCCCTCTGGCTGCTTGCCCCAGGGCCCCCCCAGCCAGCCATGCCCTCAGGCTTAGCTCCTGGGCACGTTCACCAGTGGCACAGCACACACTTCACAGCTTTCTGATTCCATCCAGCCCGTCACCCGGCACCTGGTTCCGAAGCATCGTCAGGGGAACGTCATCTTTGCCAGGGGCATCTGAGGTGGCCAGCCAGCTCTGGGTGGGCAGCGTCTGCTTCAGCAAGGAGATGTAAGCGCTGAAGATGTCGGCTTTGACGTTCTCCTCCCTCTCTTTGAACCTGCTTATCAAGGCTGGGGAAAGAGTTCTGTAGAAGTCCTGCAGGAGATCGTGCCTGCTGCTGACAATGGCCTCCAGGCACTTGGCCGCAGACCTGCGGACCTTCCAGCTGATGTCGTCGTCGTCGCTGTACTCGTCATCGCTTTCTGGAACGACAAGGGAAAATAAGGTGCACAGTTATGAGAAAAATGGAGCCAGAGGATCACTTGATCTTCAGAGCTTCTCTCTCCAGCTGACCAGAGAGACACCAGTAACACACACACATCTGGGAACATGAAATTGTCCCCAGTAGCCTGTCCCCACAGAGTCACTACCAGCCAGTATGAGCCAGCGCTGCCTTGTGTCCCATTATCCTGTTCCAAGCAAGAGCTGATGGAGAATAAACCTTAATGTTACTGCCCTTACTGTGCACTTCAGCTGGGGCAGCGAGGCTTTTGTTGTGAACAGAGAATGAGCTTCCCAAATTTTAAAGCCAGAAATGTGTAAATATTTGTCTGAGCAATTTCTGACTGGCACAAAGCAGGGTAACAATTTACTGTGTTATTGGCAGAACGCTTAACATATTCTCCAGGAAGCTGGCCAGGATCTTACTCCAATTAGTATGAAAGTAAACAAAAATTCCTCTCTTCAAGGGAATTTGTTCTAACTTTTGCTCTTAGCTGCCACGCTACACCCAACTATGAACAGAGACATTCTGAAATGCCGTCTATAGGGAAAAGACACTAAAGGCAACCCTCCTCGCTGACCAGGGCTTGACATCCACCTCCAAGTAAAGAGGATTCAGAAGACACGTGAAAGGTCCCTTTTGAAACCCATACCAGATTGCTTCACTGATGACTGAGGCGTTTTTAATGATGGACCAAGACGTTTTTAATGGTGGCACTTTTAAGCGTTCAGGATTGTAGCTTTGCTTCCTTCTGCTACAAAATAGTAGAAAATAGCTACCTCATAGCAAAAATACAGTTGTGTGAAGCACCAGCACCTTTGGGAGCACAAGGGAGAACATCCAACAGCCGGAATGGCAGCGGCTGCTCCTGGGGATCCCCAGGTGCTGGGTGTGCTCCAACAACTCCAGCCTCCAGCAGGCACAGGAGAAGTGGTGCTGCCTTGGTCTGGCTCTCTCTAAGCTAGTGCAGAGCTCAAGTTTCAGTGTTTTCACTGTTGCCTAAGGCAAGGAGAGATCTGAGGACTTTGGCAGAAAAAGATAAAACTAATAATCTCAGAAGGATGCTGGAACATTGCGCATACAGCTCTATTATTACCACTGGTAAATAAAAAGGACCCATTTAAAAGCACTGACTGTCTTGAGGCAGATCTGAAAAGTGAGGAAACAGAAAGGGGAGAAATGTTAACCCAGTGTTCTGCTGAGCACAGTCATCCTCACAAGCAGGCACCTTGCTCTTCATCCTCCCCATTTTCAGTGTCCATCATCTCTTCCTCCTCTTCATTGTCATAGTTGTAGTTTGGGTCGAAGGTGATGTATTTCAAACACAACCCCATCACATTAGGGATGTGAGGGTCCATTTCCTTTGGGCACCTGTCATGAGAAATAAAAATCCCAAGGGTTAATAAATCAAAGACTAAGCTATTTTAAATATCCAAATAATATAACTAATTTCAAAAGGATCCCAAAATGCTTCACAGACTATATGAACATTTTGTTAACATGAGTTACACCAGAGCTGCTCCTTCCTGCTGTGCAGGAAGCAAGACCATATTCCCCTGGGGAGGATGCACCGATTTCTGTCAGGAAAGGAAAATAAACACACTACCATCACCACCTGGTTGGATCCTCCCTTCCTGGGAGAAACCTCAGCAGCTCTGCAGCGCTGCTTTGCCCAAACAAGCAGTAAAGGTTTGACCAAAGAACAGAGCTGCAGCTCAGCAGCTCGCCTGCCCGAGCCCCTTCCTGCCTCCCACTGCCCCCAACAGCAGGAGGGAGGCACTTCCCCCTTGCTGAGAAATGCTCCAAGGATGAGGAAAACCCCCACTCCCACAAAGCCAAAACAGAAACACACTCTTATGTGCCGAGGTGTAACAGCTCATAACCCAAGCCCAACTCTGCACATGAAGAAGAGATTTCATTCATGAACTGTCTTTCCCTCCAGGAATGCACGTAGAAAGGTACACGACCCCGGGTGCTGAAAATACAGATATTTATACCTGGAAGATACTGCTGCACAGGACAGAGCACAGTTGTTCAAGGGCACTCACCTCCTCACAAAAGACTCGAAGGCCTGAAAGCAGTACTCTCTCAGCTCATCATCTTCCACGTTACAGTACTGAACAATCAGAGGAATTATCTTCTCCAGATGTTCTCCTGGGAAAGGCAAAGTAAGAAGCCATGAAAAATCATTCCAGGCTTCCCTAATGTGAGCAGCCAGCAGTTCAGCTCATCTGCTGCTCCCTTCATGTGCCTGGCAGAGCGTTCCTCCTCTGGACACCATGGTCCCGCTTGCAGGGACTTCCATCAGACCAACCCTGCTCCCTGTCCTCAGCCCCTCATTGGCATTTGAGACACAGGAAGAGCTGTGATCAGAAATCTTCTAGGAAATCTTCTATTCTCAGCTCTGGCAGATCTTTTAGACAAGCAACGCAATATGCTGCCCTCCACTTCTCCTCTCACTTAAAATGGGGTGAGTCCACTGACCTAATTCACAGAGGCGTTAACTCAGACCAGGGAAGCACTGCAAGTCCTTGAGATGAAATCACTGCAGAAGGGCAGCAAGAGAGTTACCCTGGTGTCTCACACTTCCCAGTAGAAAACAGAGCACCAGGTCAGGACCACAGAGGGGAGGAGGAAGCACAAGACACTGAGAGGTTAGGAGCAAAGCGAGCACACTTCTTGTACCACTAACAGGAGCTGCTCTAAAACGCATGCGCGTTTCCCAGTGTCACTTCAAGCTCCTGGCCCTACCTATGCGGTGTCCAGCCTGCCTGCTGATGCCAGCCACACACTGAATGTACGTCCTGGTGGTAGAAGTAGACTCGTTCCTCTTCAGCTCGGTCAGCAGATGCTCTGTCAGCTCGGAGAAGATGCTTCCGCTGCAGGTCAGGACAAGATGGCCCAAGGCAATGATGGCCCTTTTCCGTACTGCCAGCCTGGGGCTCGTCAGCTGGGGCAGGAGGCAGTTCAGGATGGAGGAATGGAAAGAGTAGAGAGTTCCCCCCAGTCTGCAATCAACAGAACGAGGCCGATGTTGAAAGCCAAAGCCTCAAAGAAAAAGCCCTCCTGCCAGCAAAAAATGTAAAAACCCTTCTGCTATGAAGAATTCACACCCATTGTCAGGAGAAAGAGGAAAAGAGTGGGTTTGGGATTTTAGTCTGAACCCTGACTTATTCTATATAACACAGGGAGAGGTTATTTATCTCCCTCAGGGAGGAGTTTGATCCCGACAGTGTCCTTCTGGGTGACCTGGGGGTTTGTCAATCACTTCCTGCATGCACTTGACACACGACACTGTCACTCTGACTTATGCAATGAGAGAAAGAGGCCTCCAGGAAAAGAAAATGAGTGAGTGATCAGATCACAGGGCTAAAATAACCTTCCCTGTTTGCCCCCTCCCTCCCTACGTGTGGCTGAACTAAGCCTCTGTGGGATCCATCACCAGTATCACTGCTACTCCCCAGCACAGAAAGGCTCAGCACGTCTTGCCTCATCCCTGCTGGGGAACCTGCTCCGCTGAGACACTCCCCAGTGCCAGCCAGCCCAAATCCTTTATTTTTAATTCCTCATAGTAGGATTAGGGAAATAGAGCAATCAAAAGCAAACGCGTACATGCAGCCCCCTGCTGTACACCACTGCCAGAAGGAAACCCATCAGTACCTGCTCAGCATATCTGACAGGATGTCAAGTGCCTCCAGCTGCACAGAGACATCCTCCTGCTTGCCAATGGCTCCCGTCAACTGGGCTGTGATCTTCTTGCACACATTTGCTGTCATGGTGGAGCCTGCAACAGAGCAATTTTTCCCCACTGTCAGTTAAAAAGAAGTCTTTGAACTGCTAAGAATCATTCAATCCCTCCTACGCTAATAAAAGCAACCACCCCTGGGAGAGCTAACCAGAGCAGCAATCAGCCAGCTTTGGTGTGCGACGGGGTACTCCCTCTGCAGACAGCGAGCATCTCCCCCTGAGGCACCATGCAGTAACTGTTTGGAAGAAGTTTCTCTTCTCGGAGAGTGTCTTCTACCCTAAGACCCCCTGTCTGTCTCCTAGGCACCTCCCAGGCCCACGTGATGCTGGAGTAGAGCTGGCTAGCCAGTTTCTGGCATTTTTCCCCCCCCATTTTTAACTTGAAAATGTTCAGTTTCAACAAATTGAGATTTTCTCGATAGGAAGAGCAGTCTTGACAGAAACTGGTTTTCAGCTCCGTGATGAAATTTAAGTACAGAACTCGAAGAATCTGTCTCAAAATAATACATAACCCAGGTTCAAGAACGTGTTGAGATTGCAACCACAGTCTGGAATCTCAATCTCTACAGTCCAGACCAATGTCTAGATATCAGTTTAGTCTTCATGCTGGGGCGTGCCTGTCCCAACAGTGACTTCTCTTGTGGGTTTTTTCCCAGTTCAGTGCAAAGCATAAGGAGCTCCACATTCCACAAAACTTTCCAAGAAGGGACAACTGCTTCCCATGCCATTCTGAACAGCCTCCATGATGCAACAGAGACAAAACAGAAGTGGAACATCATTAGGAGCATCATTAATTGCTGTACAGCACTGAGAAAGGACTCTGCCTCAGGCACGCCCCGTTTCTTGGACTATTATTTCAAACCCACCCTGAGGGTCAGGGTGGAGAAAGCACAGGGGCAGATGTCCAACCTCTCCATTTAGCAGCAAACCCACACCACTTTTGCTGCCTTCTACACACACAGAGCCAATCCCAGCCCTTAAGGAGATGGCTTGTCTGTTGCTACCCTGAAACAGTTTCAGTTCATGTGATGCATGTTAAATACAGAATTCTGAAAGGACGGCTCACAAGAGCTGAACATCTCACAAACACCTCTCCAAATGCCATTTCAGACTTAAGTGTCCTCGGGCTGAGCAGCTCAAGTTCTCATTTCAGCCCATCTTTAGTCACTTTGGTGTCTCAGCTTCTACCATCTCTCCTCCTTACTTCATTCGTTGTTTTCTAGCAGGTAAATGAGGAATCTGTAACTTTTAGACCCTGAACTACACATTTTCCTGTTTCCTGAAGGGTGTGACTCCCTGTTGCTGCAGTGGGACAAATGGGACAGAGGTTTTACCTGTAGAAGCTGGTGGCAGCTCGGCGATGACCGTTTTCAGTCCAATGCTGGAGATGTCCCGCAGCTGCTCCTTGTCCGACAGCATGTTCGTACACAGCGTATCCACGATGGTTTCCACCTGGTACTCCTTCACTTTGCCAACCAGCGGGCCCAGGCTGCGGGAGGAGAAGTCAGTGAGAATGACAGGGAAGAGGGATTCTTCCCTCCATCAGAAGGATGCTCAGGCTCACTCCTGAACGGCAGCTCAGCCCCAGGCCCAAATATCACCCAAACATCGAGTACCGATAGCCTGCAGCACCTCCTGTCCCCAGGTGTACGCACCCCGGCCTTGCTGCCTCAGCTAACTCTAGACCAGACCACAGCGGATTCTAGATCAGATTTGCAGGAGGATATTTCACACCAACTACTGCAAACAGGAGGCCAGTTAAGATCTTACCGGAAGGAGCAGCTCAGAAATTACAAGACAATTTGAATTTGAACCAAAGCAACCATGTTACATGGCATAATGGTAAAATCCACAGCCAACTTTTGAAAAAAACCAAAACCAACCCAACCATCAAAAACTGACTCGCAGGAGGAGATGCCAAATGGATTTTCACAAGCAACCAGCTACTTATTGCCCTCTGCTGTGTGTGTGAAAACCTCTACTCCAGCCAAGGCCCAGAATGACAACAGGAGGAAGACTGTTCCCTTTCTAAAATCCTCACACAAAAATGCATTTTCTGTCCTCGTTTTCTCTCTTCTTTTAGGTATAGCTCTAGCGATGCAGACTGTGCAGAACACCCATGCACAAGCAGTTGTCTCCCTGCTGGCACACCCCAATTACCCGGACAGCATGTTAACGAACGCTGCGTGCACAGCACTTCCCAGAGCACACCCAGCAAACTCACACGCAGCCCCTTCTGCGTGAGACTAGTCCTAAATTCAACAATTGGGACAGTAATAGCTGTTTATAGAGTCTGAGCGGGTACTCTGAGATAGAACAATCAGAAAAGAAATACTAAATAATAAGACTTTATACAAGTCCAGGTAGTGTTCAATCTTACGCCTCGACAGGCAGAAAAGGACAGATGGCTACCCCTGCTTTACAGGCAGGGACTCCGAGCACAGAGAAGCTACAGAACTCCTCTAAATGCAAAAACATAAAAATATCACAGAATCAGAAACAGGGCGAGTTTTTACATGGATTTCCAATTTGTGGGGTTTTTGGGGTCTGAAGAAATAAGATGACAGTTTTAGATTATAAAATCAACTGCAAGATCTCTCAGTAGTTCCCTCACTTAGTGCTGAGCCCTGGTGTGGCTGCACATACCCCCGCTCCAGCCTAATCCAACCATTGGTGTCCTTCTAACACCCCATTTCTCCTTCTTGGAGATCCTTCCCCCTGGCTGGGAATAACCACCTGGATGTTAACTCTTATAAGGACCCCCTTAAGTATCAAGGGGGAATATTACCGGTTCCATTTGAGGCCTTCTTATGATGACATTCTGGATGAATGAGAGATTGTAATGAACACAGACTTAGTGCTAACACAACCATAGCTAAACAGGCAAAAAAAATTGTACTCTGTTCAGTGCCCAACCATTTTGCTTTATAAAACAGAATAAATAAACCCAAAGCAGGCAGAGACAGGAAAAGGACCAGAAAAAGTCAGGACAGTGGGAATCAAAAAGGGCCAGAGGTCACAGGGAAAGTGCAGGGATAGAAGCAAGATGTGGGTAAGAAGGGAACATGAATAAGGTCCGCAGTAGGAAAAAATAGAGGAACCCAAAGTTGTCTTTAAATGGCCCACCTTTCTGGAGCCCTGTGCGTGAACTGACCCATTCAATCTCATTTCTAGAATGAACACTCCCATTTAGACATGCTGGGGGAAGAGACAGGAGAGAACATGTCAGCAGTAGCATCACTTCACCAGATGATTCAGTAATAAAAGGAACCTTCTGCCTTTTTCATTTGGATTAAAAAAAAAAATTTAAACAATCAAAGGAAAAGCAACAACACAGGCTGCAGCTGGAGTCAAAGTAGGGGAAAAACCAAGTGCATTAGAAACTTTAATGAAAATGCTCTTCAAGAGTAGGATTCGGACCTGAAATTCAAATGTCAGTTTTGGAGGGCTGTACATGTTTAGCACCATCTCCATCCAAGACAGGACCACTGGGAAATTCAGCACTGGATTTCAAAGCCCGAGAAAGGAGAGGAACTTGGTGATTAAAATTTTAAACTGGGCTTCTCTCTGAAGAAATAGGAACTTAGGCACGCTACTTTTAATATGTAAGATTCCTAACATACACAGTGAACTACTTCCACATTCACCTCCTGCTTCTACAAAGATACTTGTAACTCACCCTCTCTGAATACCAACAGGGAAAGAACCCGCTGTGCCCAGCCAGAGAGGGCAAGCCCCTGGGAAGGGAGGTCTGCGTGAGCTGCCTGGACCGCAGGGGCAGCTGCAGGCTCACACGCTGCCCGCAGCCTCTGACAGCTTAATTATTGCCAAGGAACTCAGTAATTACTGCCAGGGCTCTTACCACTTGACAGCAAGGTTCTGTACTTCCCCGTTTTTGTCCTCCAGCAGTTTCAAAAGCATTTTCACAACTTTTTTCTCACTGTCTTCATCCAGTTTTATTGAATCTTTCTGCAGTTCCATCATCAGGTCGTTGGTGGCCATAAACCTGGAAGAGCACAAAGCAGAAGTGATCAGCTGATACAGACACTAACACATTGCCTTCCCACCGCTCTGGGCAATGGAACTTGACAACTGGTGCTTGTATAAGAGCACCCTTTCAAAGAGTAACTCGCAATCCTTTGCACCGTACTGAAAAATGAGGTACAAAGGACTATTATTCTCTCTAAGAGGAAAACTCGGATAGGGGTAACTGGTGAAAAGGCTTTAGCTAAGGAATCTATGGAAATGAGAAATATACATTCTCTCCTCTCCTTAAAATATTTAACAGCAATGGGACATGCTAGAAGTCTAAAACTGGCACTGCAGGACCCACTTTGCGTATTTTTTTCTCGGTGACTAAATCAAGACAGCCAACTATGCTAAAAAAACCTATGGGGGTTTCTTTCACCAATTGCCAGGCCTAGGAAAACCAGTCTAGGGTCTAAGACTGCACCTGGCTGTGGCTTATTTAGCACTGATAACGTGATTCCACACGTGGAGAAGGCCTATCAAGCTCAAAATTAAAAATAAAGTCACAACTCCACACAAACTATACCTTAAAAGTTCCCTAGGCTATATTTAGATTGCTATGAGCAAAACCAAGCAAATATTTACCATTCCAGCTTAGAAGGAAAACCACACTCCCAGCTGACTATTAGTCAATTAATTTTCTGACTGGGATAGTGACAAAATGGACAGTGAGAAGTTCTGGAAAGTATTTCTCTCCCCAGGAGCAGGAAACGTAAAAGGTGGGAGTACAGAATCCTGAGGTTCTGAGTGTGATTATTGTACATTGCTCCTTCCCAACGTTAGCCCCGGAACAGGATGGACGAAAGGAACCACAGAGAATCTCTTCCCTCCCATCTACCAAGTGACAGCTCCAATTTAAATTAGGCGCTGATGTCACTCATTCAGCACGCAGAGCCCTCCTGTACCAGGGCAGCACTTGTGTGTCTGCTCGCTCGTTTCTCAGTAGCAACCGGGTACACCTGGGACGAGGGGCTGCTGTGGTGGGCGACAAAAACGAGAAAAACAGAGGGACCTGCCCAAAAATGTTAACAACGTGTCATCTATTTTCGATTCTGCCAGAGCTACTGAGCCGTCCTGGCAGCTCCGCGGCTGCGCAGGAGCAGCATGACCAAGTATGGCCACGGCCCGAGCACAGCCTCCCGCGCCAGCACCCCCCACTTGCGCCCCGCCGCCCCGGCCACGGCACCTCGGGCACGGCCCACGGGTCCCTTCGTGAGGGGACACACGTGAAAACTGTCCTGCAGCTGAGGAGAGACCACGGGCTCGAGCTGACTGCCCTGCAACACCTCCATAACATGGCACATGGTGTCTTCACTCCTGTTCAGAGGATTAACTGTAAATTCTTTGGACAAAGTGTCTGTGCAACTACTCCGTCATGGACTTCTTTACAAAGTACCTGCTTTAACAGCAGAAAAACATCAGCAGCCTTTGCAAAAACCAGCCTACTTTTAGGATTTTACTAACCCCTCTCTGCTATAAGACCTCCAAATATCAAATCTGGCACAAGCATTTCCTTCCACATCGACGGTGGGAAAACGATAAGCCCATGGGTGAAGTCTTTCATACTTGTTAGTTTAAACAGTTTTTATGGAACACCTTATATACCAAGGCACCAGCCCTGACCCTACGAAGACATCTGTTTTTCCTGCTGACTTATACGAGGAGAATAGAAGCACCCGTGAGGCTGCACAGCGCCGTGAGGAGCCGCACAGACCGTGCCCGGGAGCGAGCCCAGCCCCGGGTCCCTGCAGCGCCCGGCACCGGGGCACCGGGCGGCTCACCCTCTGAGGGCACGGGCCGGCTCACCTCTGGGGGAGAAACAAACTAAGTATTTCAGGATTTTTGCTACCGTGTTCCTTCATTTCCGAAACAAATAAGAATCCCAAGTTTAGCTGTTAAGACTTTTATTCCCCCTTCCACTCTGCTTGTTACGCAGCCATCGGGGCAAAGTGGGGAACGCTGCTGGTTTCTGTCCACCCCCTCAGCCCGAGGGGCGCAGCGGGCTGGGAACACTGGGAAGGACTGGTAATTCCTCCCACGCAGGAACATCCCGCAGTTAGATTTTACCCACCAGCAGCAGCGAGGGCACCATGCTGCTCCTGACGCGGAGGGACCCCCGAGTGGGAAGGGACTCCCCCAGTGCCCAGTGGATCCCATGGGAAGGGACCTCCCGAGTGGGAAGGGACTCCCCAGTGCCAAGTAGATCCCATGGGAAGGGACCTCCCGAGTGGGAAGGGACCCCCCAGTGCCAAGTAGATCCCATGGGAAGGGACCTCCCGAGTGGGAAGGGACTCCCCAGTGCCAAGTAGATCCCATGGGAAGGGACCTCCCGAGTGGGAAGGGACCCCCCAGTGCCGAGTGGATCCCATGGGAAGGGTTCCCCCGAGCGGGAAGCCCCCG